CTGGGTTACCAAGTGTCAAATCAGGGAGTGGAGATGGATCCAGGAAAAGTGGAAGCAGTGCTGGATTGGCAACCATCACGCACACACAAACAATTCCAGAGCTTCCTAGGATTTGCAAACTGTCCGAGTATATTCATGAACTGGAACAGAGCATGGTAACAAGGTCAGCCAATGAATAGGCATAGCAACTAACTCAGCCAATGAGGACTGTTTTGGAAACTGAAACTAGAAGTAGCTTAGGCATGGCAGCTATGTTAAGCTCTGCAGCTCTGAAGTTATGTTGAGCTCTGAGTCTGTCTATTGAAAATGAAACCGCTTCTCTCCACTGCTGTGTATAATGCTTGCTACTGAAGTTACTTGCAACATGTTTCTGTCTGAGTTTGCTCCATGTTGGAGAAATCTACAACTGGTTTGTAAAATCTACTTATTATGTTTATAAAGATGTTAAATGAAGCACCAGCCATCTGTGTTTATTTTTCTGGAGCTGAATTAACGCTGAAAAGCTCTGAATACAAACTTTTATAGACAGTTTATTCCCGCTTTTGCTGAAGTTGCTCTAGCCCTGACCAAACTGCTAAAGACAGGAGGGGGCTACTCCCAAACCAACCATTGGCCTGGTCACTAGACTGTCAAAGAACCTTTGAAAAACTAAAGAAGCTATTTGCAGAAGAACCCATTTTGCAGCACCCCGATCCCAAACGGCCCTTTGTCATCCAAGCCGATGCCAGTGATGTAGCCCTTGCTGCTGTACTTTTGCAGAAGAACTCCCACGGGCAACTCCAGCCCTGTGCTTACGTGTCCAAAAACTCATGGACACCGAAAGGCGATGGGCTGTCTGGGAGAAAGAAGCATATGCCGTCAGTTGGGACCTCCTCTCGTGGCACCACTTCCTGGAGGGGAGTAAGGAGCTGTTCGAGGTTTGGACTGACCATAAAAACTTGGAAGCGCTGAAAAACCCTGAAAACTCTCCCTCAAACAAGTTCAGTGGGCACAATATTTTAAGCAGTTTAAATTTGAGCTGAAATATATACTGGGGGAAAGAACCTACTTGCAGATGCTTTGTCAAGAAAACAGAGTTTGTTTTGGAAATCAACGTGGGAAAAGCAAGATAAGTGGCAGTTTTAGAGAACTCGTTTTGAATCTTTGTGGATTATAAATACTATTGAATAACTGAAGGATTAAATGGAAAGACAAAATGTATTTTGAGAACGTGGAAAGAAGACTTTGGGTTTTTAGCTTGGCATTTAACTTTAGGTGACTTTTGGCTGTACTTCTGTCGCCATCCGAAGTGAGGACCGCGAGCTCCGCAGCCCCGTTCCAAGCTCACCTCGTCGGAGGGCTCCAATCTGAGCCATAGCCACCCTGGAGGGGTGGTGAAGTAAAGGGAGGCTGAAGCCTCGCAGGTAGAGGAGAGCCGCATCTCTCCTCCCTGACATGGAAAGCCCCCTTATGTGAAGACGAGATGCAGCGGCCACCAAAATGGCTGCCATGAAGACGGAGACAGTGTGAATACCCAAGACAGTGCAGGAGCGAAGAGACGGTGAATGGTGTGTGAACTGGGTGAGAATACCTTTGAACTTTTAAGTGCAACCCTGATAAAGATATTCAGAAAAGCGGACTCATAAGGATTTTTAAACTGGCAGTGACCTAATCCTGGAGTAGAATTTTTAAAGTACTAAAAATCTAAATTTTAAAAACTGAAAGACGAAAGTAAAGTAAAATAGAGCAGCGGTCACCACTGGTGGGCCGTGAGAAAATTTTGGTGGGCCACAGAGAAATCTCACCCCCAGAGCACCCCCCCCCCCAAAGCAATTAATCCAGGCTGCACAGAAACACAAGGCTGAGCAGCCCACATGGCCCGTGGTGTGTTGTGAGTTAATTTTGTGAGTTTGCTTGCAAGCAAATTTTATGTGACAGACTGAGCTAGCCAATGGCAGATAGATAGATCTCTGAATGAATCTGTGATTCTGTAAGCAACTCAATCTGCCTGCTTGCTTTGCCTGATTTTGGGTAAAAGTTGCCCTTTGTTATAAAAAATTCAATATTTATATACAGTAAATATTTATAATATTTACATACAAACCATGCCCAGCCAGTCACATGACCACCAAGCCACACCCACAAATTAGGCCATACCCACAGAACCGGTTAGTGGTCCCTGGGATTTAAAATTATGAGTTTGGTGGTCCCTGAGGTCCAAAAGGTTAGCGACCCCTGAAATAGAGGAAGAATATAGTAAATTTCTTAAAAAAATAACTGAAAATTGGATTTTGTGATTGGACAGACTTCGGCTTTGGATAGGCATTTTTAAAATGCTGTAATATATTTATAAAAAAGGAATATATATCTATTTTTCAAAATATTGGCAAAGTTTGATGAGCAAGACAAAAAGAAAAGTGAAAATTGAATTAAGGGCACCACCTGCTGTTAAAAGAAGATACTACAGATCCCTAAAGTTTTGATAAGACCTGACTTAAGGAGAATTGAAAGCGAGAAATAAAGGAATTGTATTATCAAAAGACCACAGAAAGTTACAATATAAAATTTAATTGGTGGAGGAATTTATGAAGGTTTCACTCTTGGACTATTTAAAAGAATTGATTAATTTTGGGACATAAAGACTCCAGGACATTGGATTTTTAGTCTGAAAAGTGACTTTGGTTTGAATAAAAGACTGTTGGACAATTGGACAGAAAGAAATAGAATAAACAAAAACAAAGATGCATGGAATTTGCAAAGAAATCGTGTTGGAACTTCAGGATATAAAAGACATTATCATAGAACCTTCTGTTTTAAAATCTTTATCATACCTTGAATGTATTTGCGCATATGAAAACCAATTCATCTTTATACCTTGTTCTTCTAATTTTTGCATAGATTTAAGTTCACCCTTTTCATTCAATATTTCACCATATCTAACTGTTTGTTCCTTTTTGTATATTATAGGATAAGAAAAAGCTTCAATAGTTGATATCCAGACTGGAATTTTCAAACATTGCCTTTTAGTCTTCTCCCAGTTTAACGACAGAGACTCCCGTATATAATGTTTTCTAAAGTACCCCTGTGTTTTAGTTCCTTTATACCATAAAAAAGCATGCCACCCCAACAACAGATCATGTCCTTCTAGTGTCAACAATCTAGCATTTCTTAATGTTATCCATTCCTTAACCCACATCAAATTTGTAGCTTGGTAGTACAACTCCCAGTGAGGCAAACCAAATCCTCCTCTTATTCTAGCATCTTGCAAAAGTTTTAATTTTATTCTCGCTTTCTTACCATATATATTTCAACACGATTTTATTGAAATCTTCAAAATAGTCTTGTCCAAGCCTGATTGGAATTGTTTGGAACAAATATAAAATTCTGGGTAATATATTCATCTTGATTGTTGATATTCTCCCTATTAATGACAGTTGTAAATTTTCCCATTTCGCCAAATCTAGCGCTATCTGCTGCTTAAGTTTAATATAGTTATTCTCTTTTAGTGTACTACATCTTGCTGTCAGATGTATCCCCAAGTACTTGATCTTATTTGTGACCTGGATTTTTAATACATCCGCCAGTTCTTCCTTTTGTCTTGATAACATATTCTTTGTCAAAATCTTTGTTTTATCTTTGTTTATTTTCAAACCAGCCACCTTCCCATATACCTCTATCTTTTCTATCAATTTTAATGCAGTTTCTAGTGGGTCTTCTAAGATGAAAACCAGATCATCTGCAAATGCTTGCAATTTAAATTCTTCTTTTTTAATTTTCATCCCTTTTATGTCCTTTTCTTCTCTAATATTTCTGTTTAGTACTTCCAAGGTTAACACAAACAACAAAGGTGACAGTGGGCACCCTTGTCTTGTTCCTTTTCTTATATCAATAGAGTTCATTAATTCTCCCTCTATCATTACCTTTGCTGTTTGCTTATGATATATAGCTTCTATTGCTTGGATGAATTTTTTACCAAAACCCATCTGTTCCAGCTGTAATAACATGAATCGCCAATTCACATTGTCAAATGCCTTCTGTGCATCTAAGAATACCAAAGCCATTTGTTTTTCAGGGTGTGTCTCGTAGTATTCCAAAGTGTCCAAAATTACTCTCATATTGTCTTTAATTTGTCACTTTGGCAGAAATCCATTTTGGTCAGAGTGAATAAAATTATTTAGGTATTTTTAAGTCTTTCTGCCAATATTGAAGCAAAAATTTTATAATCTGCATTTAGTAGGGAAATAGGTCTGTAATTCTTGATTTGTAATGGGTCGGCCTCCTCTTTTGGGATAAGTGTAATATAAGCTTCTGACCATGATTTAGGTATCTTCTTCTTTAACATAACTTCATTCATAACTTCTAGCAATGGAAGATTCAACGATTCTTGTAGTGTTTTATAAAATTCCACCGGAAGTCCATCTGGGCCTGGTGCCTTTCCATTGTTTTGCTTCTTAAGTGCTTCAGTTAACTCCATCATTGTTATATTACTTTCTAACATTATTTCAATCTCTTTAGGTATCTGGGGTAGGTTAGCTTTCTGTAAGTACTGTTTAACTCTTTCCTCATCAATATTCTCTTGTGTATATAGTTTCCCGTAATAGTCTCGTATAATTTCCTTCTTCTCTTTACTTCCATAGCAAACTTGGCCTTGATCATCTATTAATTGCAATATTTTCCTTGATTCTTTCTCCTTTCTCAGTTTATATGCTAACCATCTACCTGGTTTATTTGCATCTTCAAAGTAGTTCTGTTTCGTGCCTCTGATTTTCTGTGCTAATTCTTCTTTTTCCATTAATCCCATTTTATGTTTAATTATATCCATTTTTAACTGAATGTCCTTTTCCTGTGGCATTTTCTGTGACTCTTTTTCAAGTTCTTTATATTCATCCTCTAATGTCTTAGAGGCTAGTCTTTTCGTGGTATTTCTTTTCCTTGTATAGTCTATTATCAAGCCTCTGGTATATGCCTCCATTGTATCCCATACATTCTGCGTTGATGTGTCTTCTTTTTTATTTTCTTTAAAGAAAAAAGCCAGTTCTTTCTCAATCCTCTGTATGAAGTCATTTTCTTTTAATATAGTATTGTTTAACGTCAATCTAGATCTTCTTCTTTGTCCTTTCCATTTAATTGTCATTGGATTATGATCTGCCCAAATACTTGTTTCAATATTTATTTCTTGCATATTGGCTAACAATTCTGTTTACATCCATATCATATCTATTCTGGACCATGATAAATGTCTGTTTGAATAGAAAGTGTATTGTTTAGTCTTAGCATTTCTTTCTCTCCATGCATCTTTTAGTTTTATTTCATGTCATTTTCAAAAAGGATTTAGGGAGAGTCTTTCTGTTTTGCTTTGTTGTTTTCTGTGTTGTATAGTCCAATTTATTGTCTACAATTCCATTGAAATCTCCCATCATAACGATATTAGTATAGTCCAGTTCAATTATTTTCATATGTAGTTTTCTATAAAATTCTTCTTGATTGTCATTCGGGGCATAGATTGCAATCAGGAGTGTTTTCATGTTATTGTCCATTATTTCCACCATTAATACTCTTCCATCATCATCTGTATCGATCAATTTCACTATCTATCTATCTATCTATCTATCTATCTATCTATCTATCTATCTATCTA